CGAGACCTCATCTCTACAATAAATCAAAAAATCAGCCGGGCGTGGTAGCGCATGCCTGTAATTCCGGCTACTCGGAAGGCTGAGGCGGAAAGATCGCCGGAGCCCAGCAGGTCGAGGCTGCGGTGGCCAGGAGTGGCCACTGCACTCCAGTCTGGGCGACAGAGTGAGACTCCAACTAAAAAAAAAATAAATAAATAAAAAATAAAAGCTCAAAGAAGCCCTGTAATAAAAAATTCATTATAAACCACATTGGCCTGACCACAGAACCTTTGTACCTAGTTACAGTCATCCGTAAACTATTATTGGAAAATGCTGTCCTGGTTCATGCAGTACATCCAGACCTCAGGGGAGTTCATGCAATCGTAGCAGTCAGTCAAGACCTCACAATTGTTCAAGCATACCTAGACTCTTGATCACCCAGGTAAAAAACAGAAAGACCATGGCAATGGAAATAGACCCACCCTCTCTGTAATTAAAACATCTCACCAGTTGATTGCTGAGGCTCCTCTATGCCTGGGTAGGATGGATGGGTGGTAAATGATGGAGCCATGCTTTGGGCCATCAATGATATCCATGGGAATGAACTGTGTGCAGAAGGGGAGCACATTTAGCTCGGCACCCACGGATCTGTAGGCCTCTGCAATCTCTTTGATGGTCTTGCCCTTCACTCTCCATCTAGGGAACTTGAACACAGGGGTCCCATCTTTCTCGGCAGCCAAAGCTGAGCATGAAAAAGATTATTTTCCTTTTTTAAAAAAGTTAGCCATAATTTTATATTGCTATGAATCCACACATTGTAATGTTACCGTCTCATGAAACATTTTCAAGTAAAAGATGACAAAGAACACTCTAGACTGCGACCAGAATTTGACCTGCTATATTTATATCATGCTGTATCTCTTTTTCCAATGGGATGTGTATCTATATACTTAAGACGTAATATAATTGAACCAAAAAAGCTTGTAGCTAGATAATATTTTGAGATGTTAATGGAAGCATCTCTTCTTTGGATCAAAAATGGTACCTGTACTACTGATACACCCTTTCAAAGACCTGAGCTTCAGATGTGGAGCCATGCGCCAAGACATCACCCACCAATTTAACATACTCACTTTTTAGCACAGGTGGAAAGCCTTGGTATCGCTCCTCCATGCACAGAACAAACTACAGACCCAGAGCACATCCTCCCTGTCAAAAACGCAGGTCCTGAAGGATGGAGACTCAAAGTTGCTGATATGAGATTTCCACTGCCTTCTCCCAGATTCACCAAGCAACGTGGTGGAGGAGAGGCCAAGAATGGAGAAGACAGGCTCGGTTTCCCTTAGGGTTTGCCAGACTGACAGATCCAGGTCTCCTTCCTGAGGAAAGTGTGTCGATTCCCAAACAAACGACCCTATCCTGACTCCACATGAAAACTGAATGGTACGGGGGGACACCTCTTATCAACAAGGGTGCTTGAACGGAGCGTGTTTGTATACCTAACCCTTAACTGTACCCCACAATATCATTTAAAAGAACTGATTAAAATAAAAAAAGGAAAAGAAAATTAAATAAATAAATACCAAAAAAAAGACAACTGAATGGTCCTCCAAAGTGCAAATAGCACAAGCCCATTTTTCCTAGTAAAACGTCATTTTTACTATATTAACTTTATATCTTAAGTGTATATACATATTTAAGTATACATTTTTATATATAAGTAATATATATTACCATATAAGGTTACATATTAATAATAGTATTATGTACTAGTTCATAGTAATAATATGTAAAAATATCTAAATATATATAGTATGTATGTTAATTTTAGGCAACTTCCAGAAACTTTAACTGAAGCTTTTTTTTTTAAGTCAGGGCACAATCATGGCTCACTACAGCCTCGGCCTTCTGGGCTCAGGTGATCCTTCTGCCTCAGGCTCCCTTGTACCTGGGATTAAAGGCACACACCACAACACCCAGATCGTTTTTAAATTTGTTTGTAGAGACAAGGTCTCACTATATTGCCTAGAGTGGTCTCAAACTCCTGGACACAAGCAATCATCTTGCCTCAGCCTCCCTAATAGTTGGGATTACAAGCATGAGCCACTGTGCTTGGCCAACGAAAGCTTCACCTGCATGTTCCCTCCTTTCCTTTCCCCCTTCAATCATCAAAATTCACTGACTCAGGGTGCGATAATGCCTCCACCACAAAACCCGAATTCTGAAGCCCAAGTAAGTCTTGAAGAACCCTGGCCATCAAGATTAGGCCTTGATCCATTTGGAAGAAACTGAGAGACCGGCATAGTGATGTGAACATCCATAACGTGTTCAAAAACTCAACTCACATGTCAGACGACAGGAAGATGGATTATTGGTGGTAGGAAATGTGATAATGGGAGAAAATTGAGAAAAGCTACATGGAAAAGAAGAACAGAGTGGAGGAGGCTCAGAAGTCTCCATTGTAAAATGTATTCCACTTACATGGGCTTGAAGCTTCCAGGTACTGGGCTCCTGTCTTGGTTTTTGGCTGCCCTGGAGCTACTTTTGGCTGTCCTGGTTGCCTACAAGAACAGTCAGCTACTGACATTAATAATTGCCTACTATAATCCAGTCACAGTATGAACACTTTAGTATATTAGTCTAATTTAATCCTCATAGTGGCCATGTGAGATAGATGCCACTAGACTGAAACTTGGTGAGATTAAGTAACTTGCCCAGGACCACACGCTAGTAAGTGGCAGAGTCAGCAGAAATTCCCCAACTCCAGGTCATATGCTGTTAGCCACATGCTGTGCCACCTCCTAATTTAGGCTACCCTGTAAGTCAGGTTGGTATTTTCTTCTTTTTCTGGGTTATGCCATGAGCCCAAATGGCCATGACCAATGGAAAAAGGGGGTCCTGACCCTGGTGCCGGGCACTAGGGAAGAGCTCATTTCCCAGATTCATTCTGAAAGGGGGTCTGAGAGTCATGTTTGTAATTTTTCTGAGGTTCATGTACGAGGCAGAGACTACTAGTTGCCCCCCTTTACCCTTTAGCAATGGATTCCCAAGGATTCAGTTTAGCCACACCAAGTAAAATCTATATTTCTCAGCCACTCCTGCAAATAGATTTAGCTTGTGACTAAGTTCACAAGTGGGAGTAGTAGGTGCCACTTCTGGATTACACCCTTAATAAAAAACTTGCCCTCTATTTCCCCTCTTCTTCTTCCTGTTTGCTGAATGCGCACCTGATAGTTGGGGCTGAGGCAGCTAGCTATCTTGGACTAGGAGATGGAAGCCCAGGACTGATAATGGTGAAACGACAAATAGGAGCCCACATTGTGATGACTGCAGAGTTGCCACACCAGCTCTGATGGCCAAACTGGACCTGAGAATTCTTGACCCAGTCACCCCAAGATGCACTCACCCAGTGGGTCAGCTTTTCCATCCTTGTCTGGAACTGTAAACACCCCCACTACTCGGTGGCCCTCTTTGCGGAGGCACCTGTAGACTTCCTGTCCAAAAAGGCTCTGGCCGATGAGTGCCAACTTCAGCTTGTTTTTTAAATAAACCTGAGAAACAATTCAAGATGGCAGGCATAAGCATGGATAGAAGACGCTGGATAGCAAACACTGTTTTCATTCATACAAGTATAAAATGACTTGAGGACTACAGAAGGCTAAAAGATCTACAAAATAAAATGTTTATTGACGAACACTGACCCCAGACTACATTACATGTAGATAATAGTAAAAAGAATGTCTCATCTAAATATTGTTCATTTTCTCTTTGCTCTAATTCCCTCGATTATTCATTTTTTCGTTTGTTGTTTATTATTATTATTTTTTTGTAGTGACAGGTTCTCCCCATGCTGCCTAGGCTGACCTTGAACTCCTGGACTCAAGCAATCCTCCTGCTTTGACCTCCCGAAGTGCTGGGTGTGAGACACTGCACCCAGCCAATTATTCATTTGAATCATTGAGATTGGATATATTTTTATAAGCCACTTCAACTCCTTGGTGAAATTAAGTCAAATAAGTGTACCCTAGTAAAAGGAGCTTAAATGAGTGGGATCTACCTCCCTATGACAATGCTTTTATGCTCCTACAAATATAGAGATAAACACTGCACTCATTTTGGATCTCACAGGGAAGCCGAAAGCTAACATTTAGTATAGTATCGGACTAAAAGCACAGACCTTAGAGCTCGGCTACCTGAGGTCAAAGCCAAGTGTCACTACTTAATTGTGTGGCCTTGAGCAAGTAACTAACTTCTAGTTGCCCTTCCCTTCTTGTTTATAAAATGAAAATAACAATAACACCAACCACATACAATCCTGATTGAAGTAAATGATTTAATATGCAACAGGCTTAGTGCGGTGTGTACCACAAAGTACTGTTTCAGGAGAAGCTTTAATAATTGTTTAAAGCTCTTGCTATGCACTAGACTCTGTTTTGTGTTTTTTCATGTAGTCCAGTATTCCAAAATTCTTGGTAAGTGGATCAAAGTCATCTGGTCTCAAGACTTGGCTTGATCTACTGTAGTACTCTTTATAGCCCTTTCAGGTTTCTTATAAGTTTGGCATACTCATTTAGCTTCCCATCTGACCTGAACTGACATAATGCTATTTATTGTCTTTATTTATGATAGTTATAAAGACTATATGGATAGTCATATGTTTGCTGCAGAAAATTCAGTGTGTTTGGTTACATTTATTGCTCCAGAGCCTGTTGGAAATTTTATGTAATGCCCTATTTATGTACCATATTAACTTTCTCAAACGTGAGTAAGTCTGAACTCTTAAAAAACATTAGGCTACAAAGTTTTCAGATAAGGAATCAAGGCCTACACATCATTTCATTTCATTTAGCTCTTACTTTTATGTTGTGTCATTAATCCCCCGTCATGCACCATGTTATGGATGAGGACACCAAGGCTTAGAAATGTCAAGTATATCCCCAAGGTCACACTGCTAGAAACAGGGAGAGTCTAGGATTTGAATCTAGGAGTATCTAACACCAAAGACTATGTATGCACTTAAAAATAAAGTAATTAAAAGAAATTACTACTACCTATCTCTTCCATCTTCTTTCTAGATACTCACACATAAAAAGATGATGATTATCAAGAAATATAAACACCATACAGATAAAAGTGGCACTAAAGGGGTTAAAGTTTTAAGAGTGTCTTTGAGCAATTAGATCTGTGAATTTTCCCGGAACGCAGAATTTTTACAATGCTTAAGGACATACATTGACATGATAATTGCTAAGGTGATGAAAAACCATCAGAGAAGCAAGCTAGATGCAAGATAGTGGGTGTAGAGGGGATTATCAGAGGGTTGAGACTTCCTCTAGGCATATCTTCTTGGTAATGTCTCCCCAGAATTCTCTCTACTTTATGTTCTTCCATGTGACTCCCCAGGATTTGGATTTAAAATGTATCTTTCCTCTTCAGTCTAAATGAGATTCACTAGCATTCTGGAAAGTCATTCCAAACTAGCAAAGCCTCTCTGTGAAAATCTGATTATGAATAAACTTAATTTTCCTTATTTCCTACCTTATGAAGGGCATAGATAACATCCCTCTTTAGGCATGAATCTAAAAAGGATACCAAATCACAACTTCCCTATAACTGAGCTGATAATTAAACAATTGTGGTTTTCATTTAAAAAATCCTTTTCCAGGTCCAGCCAAAGTTTCTATCTCAAGCGTGCCTAATTAAGCTTTAATATCTAACAAATACTTGTAAGCAAATGGATTAACTCTAATAACAAATTCACATGCAGCTAATGCATGGTTGACCATTTAATGTCCTCTCTTCGAAAAGTCAAAATGTTCTGTATTCCATCTTCACATCCTATGATTAATGTTGTTGCTTGAAATAGAATCTACACATTGGCCACCTTACAAAATTTGGCTTTACCTCATACCTTTACCAATGCCAGATATTTCACAACATCCAAAATACTGCTTTTGAAACACACAAGAGACTGAAATTACTCACACGCAATGTGCTGCTCAGCTATTATCTAGTTATTTGGAGTTCAACGCCAGATTCAATACTCTCTGAGAAAGACAGTGTTTAAAGAAACCATGTCAGGACCTCTGGAAATACCACACTCACTGAGACGTTTTTTGAGCTTTGTGCTAAAGCTGAAGGTATGAAGATGAGTTCCCAACACCAAGACAATTTCAGATTTTATGACGTGTGTTTATAACGAGTTAGCAGGATTTCAGAAAACCAGACTGGAATATTTTACTTTAGTCTTATTTCTCCAAGTGTGGTCAGAGGGCTGACTGCCCATGCTGACAGAAGCAACTGGGAGGATATGTTTAAAATGTGGATTCCTGGGCCCCACTTCAGATCTATTAAGTCAGAATCTCAGGGCTAGGAAGCCACGTTTTAACAAGTTCTCCAGTGACTCACAGGCACACAAAAGTCTGAGAATCTCTGCTTTATGGAGCGTGTATGTCAGCTCACAACAAGATTCTGCGTTGTAGAGTCTGGTAGGGAAGAAAGGGCGGAAATAATAGCCAACATTTTGGGCCATCTCCACTGTTCCATCTCCTGTTCTCCAGAGGGGCAGGGTGAGTCTGCCACAGCCTCTGTCGCTCTGTGATCTGCAGGCACTGGGAGATCCATAGAAGGGACACTGGGAAACCCCAGAATTTGGGGAATGGTACATAGACACCATACCAGAGTGGCTTTGGATTGTGATTTCACTTTGGAACATTTACAGGGTGATGTGACCTCAGGACCAGACCTTTCTGTCTCTTCCTGGTCCTGGGTTTCAGAAATGTCTGAGGATGACTCAAGAGACCTACAGTGGACACATCTTCTGATGTCACCACCTGAAGGGTCATTTATGGACAGAAAGTGATGATTGTTATTATTACCATTTCTATTGCTTTTACCTTTTTAGGAATAAATATTTAGCTTCTGATAAAATTGCCATAAAAAATCTTAAAAAATAATAATGATAGCAAACATTTTAAGGAGACCCTAGTATATGCCAGGGATTTCACATATATCACCTCATCTGACTGCCCAATCTCCTGGAGACATAAAGTGGGCATTATTAACCCACTTTACAGCTGAAGAAATTAAAGCACCGAGAGGTTAAAATACAGCCTAGAGTCAAACACCTTCTAAGTGGCAGCCCCGAGATTCTAAATCTATTTCTCATCCCAGTGCCCATTGTTTTCCCATAACACCTGCTGTGCAGTTTTGAGTTGAACCCCTTTTTCCCTCATTAATTAAAATCGGAATCATAGCAGCACCTATCTAACAAAGTTGCTGTCAGGATTCAATGGGAAAAAGTAGGAATGCATTAGTGCAATGTGTGGCAGTAGTAAATGCTCAGTAAGCGTTAACTATTATTAATATTATAACACAAATAACACCTTGGTAAATAAAAATAGTGGTCATGGATATCTCCGATTGGGAATAAACAATGAGCCAGGCACTTACTGAGCCCTTGTCATTAAATCAAAAAATATTTATCAAATGCTTATCATGTATCTTTAATCCCCACAGTTGCCCCCATCTTACAAATGAGAAAACAAAGGGCTCAGAGAGGTTGAGCAACCTGCCCACAAACAGAACTAATAAGGGTCAGAGGAGGCAAGATTCAAACCTGAATCTAGCTGACTTTAGCAGACATATTTGTAAGGCTTTCCTATGTTGAAGGCACCACCCTATTGAAAAGCAAAAGCCGGGCTCAGTGGCTCAGCCTGTAATCCCACGCCTTTGGGAGGCTGAGGTGAGTGGATTGTCTGAGCCAGCGGGTTCGAGACCCGCCTGGGCAGCGAGACCTCATCTCTACAATAAATCCAAAAAAATCAGCTGGGCGTGGTAGCGCATGCCTGTAATTCCGGCTACTTGGAAGGATGAGGCGGAAGGATCGCCGGAGCCCAGCAGGTCGAGGCTGCGGTGGCCGGGAGTGGCCACTGCACTCCAGTCTGGGCGACAGAGTGAGACTCCAACTCAAAAAAAGAAAAAGAAAAGCAAAAAAGAAAAGCACGGCAACAGTTAGACAAGTCAATTGTGGGGAATTGTTCCATCAGCCTTTCTAATAAGGGCATGTGACCGTGGCCCTGACACGGGACACAGCTCCGTTCTCGAAGGGGACCTCTCTGTAGGCTCCTACTGTATTGGTGAGAAAGAGGGGCCTGAATGACACTCAGCATTTCCAAATCTGGGTGATAAGTGCGACTGTCTTGGAGTGCTATAGACATCACATTCTGCATCAGAAGAAGCTTTTGCAGCGAACAGTGCTTTTGCTTTTTAAACTGTCACTCATTCCCAGGCTATCCACTGCTGGTGGAATTCTTCAGGAAGCAAGTTAATGTGAATTCAGACTATGTTCCAGGTGATAAAAAAAATGTGTATCTTCCATGGAAAACCGAAAGGCACAGTGCTCGGAGTCTGCCCTGACCCAAAACCCTTCAAGGAAGCAGATGCTGCCTTTCATAGAACCGTTTGAGAAGATAAGGCCAAAGGTGGCAGGATTTGGGAGAATTGGCAACTTTACACGAAGGACCTTCACGTAAAAGAATAAAAC